CAGGGCAGGGGGAGTGATGAGCAGCTGCATGGTGCTTAGTTGCTGGCTGGGGCTAAACCACGACAGTATCGCACACTAGTAATCCTGAAAACTGCTGCAACTGTTTTATGTGTCCTGATCTAGTTCCGCCACAGCAACTCTTTGTTCTTTTGGGGTATCACTAGTCCCTCTCACAAAACCTCTACTTTAGCCTCTTCAATATAAGCTGAAGTCACATAAACAGGAATAACTCTTCCAACGTCATTTTGACTTATATTGGGTTGCAAGGCCAGGAGGCAAAAACGCTATTCACACAGAGCAAAGCTCTCCTGGCCAGGCTGGAAGTAGGTATTTCTTCTTTATAAAATCATCCTCCTATTCCTCTTTGTAGTTAGGGTCCTTCTACAGGAGCCCAGGTCAGAGATATCACCAGGAGACTTCCCAGTTTGGTACGGCCCTCAGGCTACTACCCATTGGTGCTCCTCCACGTGGGTGGTGACAAAGTTGCAGTGCATAGCCCAAGGGTGATAAAAAGAGACTTCAGGGCCTTGGGACAGTTAGTGAGGGAATCTGGGGCACAGGTTATCTTTTCCTCCCTCCTTCCAGTTGTGGGAGGTAACACTGGTAGGAACAGGTGGACCCAATCTATTAATACATGGCTCCGTGGCTGGTGCCCCCATCACAACCTTGGGTTTTTTGACAATGGGACAACCAACATGGCACCAGGCTTGCTGGCATCAAATGGGAGCCACCTTTCTCAAAGGGGAAAGAGGGTCTTGGCTCAGGAGCTTGCAGGCTCATTGACAGGGCTTTAAACCAGATGTGAAGGGGGTGGGGGAGCATACCAGGCTTGCCTGTGACAAGCTGTGGGATGGTACACAATGGGTAGAGGGACGGGGTGCTACTATGAGCCCTCAACCTGTTGCCCAGAGGCATGATGGGGACACTGCAGCACAGTTGAAGTCTTGCAGAGATGAGCCAGGGGCTCCTGAGGTAGCAGGACCTAACAAGGAAACCTTCGTGAAACACCTCAAGGGAAACAAGGGATGTTCCACCAAGGCGGCAACATAGCCGACAGCCCAGATGAAATGCCTCTACACAAACGCACACAGCAT